CCACCACCTCCACCGCCACCTCCACCACCACCATCACCGCCACCTCCACCACCATCACCCTTATTTCTATAATCATATCCAACTCCATTGTCCACACCGCCAGTCGTACCTCCATCATCCCCTCCCCACCTCCATGACCACTGTCCCCACCTTCCTCACCTCCACATCCATCAACTCTGTCGGTGTCTACTCCCACCTCTGTTGTCATGTCCATCACATGACTCCCACCTGCATCACGTCTACCTTTCTCTCCTACCCTGCAGCACACCTGCACTGCATTATGCCTCATGAGCAGCAGAGGGAGGCCACAGCATCAGTGGCTCAGTATTCACAGCCAGTCAGGGTGGCCGTGCTGCCTGGTTCTGTGCAGAATTTGCCCACATGAGCCGCCTGGAAAGAGGATGATTTACTCTTCATGCCTTTCAGGCTAATTGCAGTTCAGGAGACTTCCGATACACAGCCCCAGTGTAGGCATCGTGTGGTGGACACACTTTCATTAGTAGTTTTTACCCTCAGGTTTCCCAGAAGGTTGTAAAAGCCAAATGTTATGCTTCATGTAGTGTGGCTCTGCTCTCCATAGTGTCCCGCACCTGTTGTCTCACTGCGAGTGCGTGGCTGAGGGGCATCACGTGGGCAGTCACCTGGGGCTGCCAGCCACTCCACGGTGACACCCTTGGGATTGGACACTGCCAGGCCATCTGCCCTGCTGCAGGCACCCACAGAGCTGCACTTACCCGGGGAGGCACGGCCCACACTCGGCGTCGTTCTCCATGTCCCCCGGTGTCAGCACCGTGGCCCGGAAGAAGCCCTCACAGTCCTTGTGGCGCCTGCAGATCTGGTAGCCCCCTTTGGAGAACTTCTCGGCAGGGCAGGGCACACAGCCATAGTCTTCATCCTTGGTGCCATAGCCGCAGGACTGGTTGAGAAGCAGTTGGGGTGGGGGTGAAGAAGGGGCACGGGACTCTGACCGCTGGGGCAGAGGCCCAGAGCTTTTCTGGTCCCATCCCAGGACAACCTCCTGGTCCTAGCCTCAGGCTGCCCTGGCATCCACTTTCTCAGCCCTCTTGGACCCTGGTCCATGAAGGCTGTACCTTCCTGCAGAGGCGGGGGTGGGCACTGAGGGCTGGAGCCCCCAGACCCAGAGGCTGGGGCTGTGAGCAGGTGCTCACCTTGTCTGGCCTGAGACCCACGCTTACCATGTAGGGCTCCTCTCCTGGCCCACAGGGCGGGCAGAGCTGGCATAGCCCAGTGGTCTGGTTGTAGAACTCATCTTCACCGCAGCTGGAGTACTCTGCGCTGGTCGAGTGCACCAGGGACACCTGCACCAAGTGAAGCCACTGCAGTCCACATGTGGGATGCCATTACTCTGGTGCCACGCCTGGCACACATAGGTTGCCAGCAGTACCCGCCCCCTGCAGCACCCATCCCAAACCACTGTGCCCTGCCCGCTGTCCAGGCCCATCCGTTGAGCTGCTTCAGGAGCTCTTTGCCCACACTGTGCCCCCAGGTCGTGACCAAGCGGCCCTGCTCCCGAGCCTCTAAGCAGCAGGTGCCTAGAGCCTCGATCACTGTCACATGTCCCCACGCTTGCCCTGGAGGGGCCTGGAAGACAAGTCTTGGCACCAGGAGCTGGGCTGTAGGCAGCTGTGCCTGCCTAGGGCCTGGCTGGGGCTCCCAGCTTGATGAGGCCAGCATGGGCCAGGTGGGGTCCAAAGTTCGGGGGGCTGCAACACCACAGCTCCCACCTCACTTCAGGGGGCTAAGGCTGAGGGCTGGAACCCAGGCCCTGTGGGCGAAGGCCGTGGCCTGGACAGTGGGTTCGCACGGGTGGGCACCAGGACTGCTTACCACAAGGACAGGCAGCCAGGGCATGCACCTGCTGTGCGCCATGCTCTCTGGGGACCGCGCCTGAAAGACACGGGTGTTAGCACAGTGGCCCTGGCCCAGCCGCTGTTACAGAGCCTGCTGAGGCCAGGGGCCTCCTGCAGCGGCCAGGAGGGATGTGTCCAACTGAGCCCAGGCCCGAACCGCGCGGCCGACCTTGCCCTGCTTACCAACACCATGGAGTGGAGGCCAAACCCCCAGGGCTTGTGCTGCTGGGCTGGAGACCGAGGGCAGGAGTCTAGTTCACACTGAGGAAAGCTAGCCTGCTGTGGGGAGGAGAGAGGAGTACAGGAACAGCCCTGACCAGCCAAGATCCCACAGCAGGAGCTGTGACTAGGGGAGGTCCCCAGGTCCCCATGCAAACATGTCAGCTCAGTGTAGTGGAGGGTCCAGGTTGGGGCAGCAAGGAGGCCTGGGGCTCCACCCAGGAGCTCAGAGCACTGCTGCTGCCAGCCAGGCTCAGCCCCCCCGGTCACCTGCCTCTGCCACCAACCCACTGAGCAGAGCCCAGGTCAAGGGCTGGAGCCCTTGCTGATCTGCCCAGAGAGCATCATGTCAGAGGCATCAAGGGACCTTGTTGGCGGAGTCTGGGCTCACAGGTCCTGGGATGCTCAGGTTGGAGAGGGTTTGGCCCTGAGAATCTGTGCCCAGAGCTGAGCTGGACGGGACCCCTGTGCCCCACACAGGGGCTCTGGAGTCTGCACAGGGATCCACAAGGACTCGGTGCCAGACATGAACCCAGTGCTCCACACCCGGCGGCACCCTCAGTGCAGCCTGTGAGATTGTGTCCTGCCTGGCAGGTGTGGGACAGTAGGGTCATGAGAGCGCCTTGATGCCCCAGAGAGCATGTGGGACCCCCAGGACCCACGCCTTCCAGATGGCGCTGCCCCTGCTTCAACACCTGGGTAGAGGTTGTCCAGGACTGAGACAAAGCAGCCCACTTCTGAGAGGCCATGCGGGAAGGGGGACTGGGGCTGCCCTTCCTGGAGGGGAGGCCCAGGCTCTGGCCACCAGAGCAGCCTTGGTTCCGCCTCCCTCCTCCCGGCTCCATTCCTGGAGCAGCCCCAGGGAGCTGCTGGTGGCCTCCCCCACCCCCAGGCCTCCTCCATTGTCAGAGGCTGGAGGTCACTGTCACAGAGAGGCTGCCAGGCTATGATTTATGGCCAGGAGAAGACTAATTAATGCTGGGTCTTGAGCAATGAGCCCGGCATCTGGCTCCTGTCTCCAGGCCTACACTTGCCTCCGGGCCGACACTTGCCTCCAGGCCGACACTTGCCTCCGGGCCTACACTTGCCTCCAGGCCTACACTTGCCTCCAGGCCTACACTTGCCTCCAGGCCTACACTTGCGGAGCCTGAGCAGGGCTCTCCCTGTTCCTCCTGGCAGGTGCTCTGGCTGCAGGTGAAGCTACCTGGTCCTGCCTGAGAGCCTGAGGTGTGAGGCCAGGCACGGTCTGGGGCAGAGTTTCCCCTCCAAGGCCACAGCACAATCCTAGAAGGACCGAAAGCAGAGCTGATGTGGAAATGTTTGACTGCAGAGTGCCAGTGCTTGCGAGCTTCGAGCATTGTCACAGAAGGGCTTCAAAGGACAGAGGCACCGTATGAGGTGGTGCAGGCCTGTAAACCCAGGGCCGAGGGACGCTGGTGCAGAGCCCCACCCGCCCGTCCATCTGTCCATATGCACGTGAGTGCGTACTGAGCGCCTGCCGCATGTCAGCCTGCACGCAAACAGATCGACACACCCCTGCCCTGCAGGTGCCTCACTGTTCTGGGGACCCAGGACAGAAGGAAGGAGTGGCGGCATGGTGGGTGCCATGTAGGCAGCCCTCACTCTCGGGGCCAGGAAGACCGTCCCAGAGCTGACAGGGCAGCCAGGGGGGCTGGAGTACTGTGGGAGAGAGGGCCCAGCATGGGGTGACGGAGCAGGAAGCATCGCACCCTGGCCAGAGTGCATGATCACCTGGGCCCGGAGCCCCAAGCTGCTGCTGAGCAGGACAGAAGCTGCTTCTGCACAAGGCGCTCCTGAGCATGATGGCAGGTGACAAGCCCCAGAGGACCCTAGACGCAGCTGCCTGAGCCGGGGATACAGTGTGGGGCAGCCGCCTCTGGGCCTCAGAGTCCACGTCCTAATTATATCTCGGGCTAAGAGAGGTTAGGAGCTGTGGGCTCTGTGGGCTGCAGCAGCTGCTCCGTGAGCCCAGATGCCTTGCCCAGGCTGATGGCGCTGAGTGGAACGTGGCCAGGCCCGGCGGACGCCCCATCCTGTCCAGGTGCTGCTGCTCCCCTTTGTCATCCACCCACCCTGATGTTGAGGCTCAGCCTTGCCCTGCAGATGGACGCAGGTTTCACTGTCCCCAGCCCTCCGTGGCGCCCTCCACTTCCTTGCCACGAGGCTGGGTGCTTGTTCCCTTCACTGCTGAGCAGCAGTGCCCAGCACTGTGACAGAGCTCAGTGTTGATCTACTTATGCATTTATCCACTGTGGCTTCTGCTCAGGTGACATCTTAAAGGTGGTCTCCGTTGTTCCCTGGCCTCACCATGCTGCAGGTGACCGAAGAGCCCATGCGAAGCTTTCCGCTGTCACCAGGCCTCCAGAGGCTCCAGCCCCCTGCTGCTGCCTCCCCAAACTTGAAGCCTGTGGTGACTCGCAGCACCCACAGGCAGCTGCTGTGGACACGATGCTGGAAGTCACTAGAGTCCATGCAGAGCCTGTGCCCCTGTGAGTGTGGACAGAGGGCAGCCAAAGGGGAGAAGCATGGTGGTGTCTGCCAGAGCCGGCCACGGTGATGCTGCCCACGGTCACTGCTGGAGACCCGTGTGGCAGGCATGGGAAATGGCCTGCCGCCATCATCTGCAGCCTCCCCACTGCAGTCCTGGCCCAGGATGCACAAGCTGGTCCTGAGCCGCAGGGAGTCGCAGTTCCCAGGCCTCACATCCTATGAGCAGGGCCTCTGCCTTCTCCACCTAGGATAAATCTGGGTATCAGGCTGTGCCAGGCTATGGGGCTGGAAGGGACCTTGTGCCCAGGTGGGCAGCCTAGCTCTCTCAGGGGACACAGCATATCCCCATGCCATGTTTGCAGGGGAAACAGGGCTGCTACAGGTAGGTGCAGGGTCCCTTGGCCCATGGTTGGTACCCACAGGGCCTCTTGATCAGTCCCTTAAGGGCCCCAGGAGCCACTTGCCACCCTGATAACTGGAGCAGCAGAGCGATCCACCTCGTTCACACAGGAGTAAGGGACTGACCACATCCGCTCAGGCTCTGCCTCCTACACGGCTCAGGAGAGGTGTCCCAGAGCTGCTGAGACCAGGGAGGCTGGTGGCTTGGTGCCTGGGCCTGGCCTTCCTGCCTGTCCTGTGGCGCAGGGTGGGGAAGGGTTGGACCTGGGAGATCAGAACTCTTGGACCGTGTGTTGGCATCTCCTCCCCTCCAGCCCAGCTCCACAGGCCTGTGTGCTATTCATGAGGAGGGGAGGGATGAGGAGAAGAGAGAGAAGGAGACGAGTGGGGGAACAAGGCAGGGTGGACCCTTGCTCCTGTCTGGGGCCCCTTCCCACTCTGCCGTGTCCCCAGACAGGTGACCCAGAGGATACGGAGCTATAAATAACCAAATGTCCCCTCACAGGGCACTTTGTTTCCCTCCCTTGAATTCAAGTCCCAGCATGAAGCAAGGAGCTCATAAATTTGGGTTCTTCCTTCCTGTCAGTCCCAGGCCTTTGTTCTGCCAGTTTGAAAGCACATTCTCTCCTTAAGCCCAGTGCCACAAGGCCCTGCACAGATGAACTTCACAGGGCAACTGCAGGCCTGGACGGACATGCCAGACAATCTGCCCTGGGTCCCAGGTTAGTGGGACCCAGAGGAATGGGGGCAGTTCCACCCCTCTGAGCTGGACCTCAGGACAGCGAGCAGTCTCCTGCTCCAGGCTTCCTTCCTATCATGTAGCTCATTTTGTGTGGATGGTTATCTTTCATTTGCACCATACTTTTAGGGCATTCACAGCCCTGTGCCTTGCTTTCTGGTGGAGAAGCTGAAGCCTAAGCACACTTTGTAGAAAAGCACCAGGGAGCAGGTGGGCTGAGCCCGTGGCACTTGGGTTGGGCCCAGAGTGGGAGGGCCAGCTGCAGGCTTTCTGTAGCATGGCAGGGCCCACAGCCAACGGGACATTGAGAGCTCACAGGGGTGGTGACTGAGGATGGCCTTGCAGGTTGCCAGCTGACTATTGCATGTGGCATCCACGTACTAAAGTGTCCACATGCCCTGTGTGACACAAGGACCATGTGCACCCAGAACTAAGAAGGTTCAAGAACAGATGGTGGTGTAGCCTCAGACAGGGTCTCCGCATGCTAGCCTGGGGCTGGAGCCTGTCCTGGCCACAGCTGCTCCCTGCCCATAGTGGCCGCCCTCCCTTGGGGAGCCAGAAGGCAGGTGCAGTGGCTACAGGGAGGCTTGCAGTGACAGTGACATAGGAAGTGCCACTTGGGAAGGTACTAGCCAGCCACCATCCAGTCCCATGTGGCAGGGGGTGGTGACAAGGCTTCCACGGTTACCCTGTCACATCAAGTGGTGACAGGAAAGTGCACTTGCGTGGGCGTCTGACCCTGGCCATGCAGAGGCTGTGTCTGTGGCTCATATGCTGTGGGTTCCAGGCAGCGCGGGCAGCTGGCGTCCCACTGGTGATCCAGGCATGCATGATAGAAAGGCCTGTTTGCGAGGTGTTTCACAACGCGTCCAGAATGCTGGTATTTCCTCATTCCCACACCACAGCCCTGCGTGATGCCACAGGACTGGTTGGGGCTGGGGAGATAGCTCAGTGGAATAAGTGCCTGTCTGGCAAGTGTAGAGTCCTGAGTTCAGTCCCTGGTACTGCAAGAAAACAAACAACCCACAATCTACAAAACAAAGGGTTTGCAACTGGATCCTAAATTAGCATATACTGAAGCCTGAAAGCCCAGACACCCAGTAATCATGAAGCCCAGCAGGGGTCCTGCCTTTGGGCCTGGCAGCCCAAGCGAGGTTTGCACCACCGTG